TGACAAATCCCAGAAATCAGCAGTGTTCTCAGTCTGTGTTTTGGGCGGGTCATTACATTACTCCCCTCTCGAGAGCGAGGTCCCTTTGAGGGAGTAACTCAGTCAGAGTCAGCAGAGAAGGCGTCATAGGCATAGATCAAAAAGAGAGTGTTAGTGAGTCCGAACGGAGTGAGTTTTGCAGCAAACTTAGCGGTCTGTCCGTCAACAATCTGTCGTTCATATGCATTCACAACACGTGGAGCACTCTTTATCAGTTCTTTCCAGTCGATCCAGAAGAATTCGTTCAACGGGTGGTAGAGGAAATGAACTTTGTATTATCTGTTCCTCCCTCTCCCCTCGTGAGAAACGATTCTGTCAATCTCATGACCGCCGTCAACAGGGCGAGGTATCATAGGGTCACGGAAGGGAAAAGTCTCATCATCAATGTGTGGGAACAGTTTGGAGGCATGGAAGACTGGATACGTGCGCAGGTGAGGAGGCACGTCAATCACGTACGAAGGACCGAAGTCATCCCCGACTACCTTCAGAATCTGCCAAGGGCCGTAGTACAGTGGAAAGAAGCTTCCGTGATATGCCCTCTTCATCAGAAAACTCAGACATTTTGACCCAAACATAATCCCCTACTTCGAATTTTTCTTCTTTGTGCAGCTTATTGGCATGTTTGATCATGGCATGCTCACGCTTGTTCATAGCTGCTGTAGCAGCTTTGAGCAAGCGTGCGTACTTGGCATTGTAGCCAGGCATGCCGGGCATCAGACCAGGTGATCGTTCGGGGAACAGATAGGAGAGGGGATTACGCATAGGCCATCCATACTGCAATTGGTTTGGTGTCACACCAGTCGCAGAATGGATGGAGTTGTTGTACAGCCCCTTCTCTTTGTGCAATTCCTTGTCCCACGTGTTCTGATCTGGAACAATTAGTGCGCGAAGCAATTGGATGACAGTCTGGTTGATCTCCTCAGCCAATCCGTTGACTTCGGGGTGTCTCCCAGAAGTCCTGTTCAGTTTGATGTCGTAGATCTGAGACGTGAAGTCTTTCCAATCTTTGCTGATGAATGTGGTGTCCCGATCACTCACAATAGTTTTCGGGACGCCGGACTGCAGAATGTACTGCTGATGGAATTCTTCTATTACAAGTTCAGTCGGGGCGTGAGGAGGGAGAGGAATCAAGTTCAGAAATTTGGAGAAGCGGTCCACAATGACCATGACTTGTGCATTCCCAGCCTCATTCACCTTTCCCATGTCCGTGAAATCGATGGAAATCGATTCACCGGGTCCATCAGGAATGGGGAGAGGTCTCAGTAGGCCATAAGGCTTATGCCTGTGGACCTTGATTCTTTGGCATACTTGACATTCAACAATGAATTTCCGAGCAGATCCTTTCATTCCTG